CGACGGCCCATTTGCATATTTGAACCACGATCCGATCAGTAAATTCTCCTTCTTCCTATTGATTTTCTTTGCTCTTAGTCGGCACAACCGATCGCGGTAGATTCTTAATGCTTCCTAATTATACTAATTCACAATCTAGTTCTAAATTAATAGTAAATTTTTCAAGAAAAAAATATTGAAAATAAAATATTATTATTTAAAAATGACTGAATTCTTTAATTAAAACAATGCAATAAGTATTACTTTAATTGTTGCTTAATTTTGTTTTTTATTTTATCTGATTTATCAAAAGATATCAATTCTCACATATTTAATACATAATAATTGACAAACATATAAAGAAACATAGTCAGAAATTTATACTTTTTGCCTCTCCCAGATGAAAGCACATTTTTTGAGCTTCTATAAAAAATTGTAAGATGATTACACCTTATATTCCGTCAACAGTAATTCCGGTTAACGGGGGACGCTTTTAAGCCTGTCCTTCGTGAGGGACAGCCGATAGGCTGCAGGCTCGATTTCAAAGAAGCGCGTTGCAGCATAACCATAATTCCTGAAGAAATATGACCCAATGACACAATAAGTACCGGTCATTACCGCGTGCGCAACCGGCCGGCAGGCGGTAAGAAAATTAAATTCCCACGCAAGATCGTCTTCGCGCTATTAACATTTTCCGACCGCGTTAGAAATCCGCTCGCGTGAATACGCATGCACGTTTTCGCTACACCATTACACTGTTTCTACACAAGTACTAAACTAAAGAAAGATAAAACGAGAAAAATTCTTTCAACGCTGTTATTTGAATATTTTTCAAGCTGATGAAGATACTTGAAGCTGCGGGGCAAAACTGCCGAGCAGAAAATGCATTTTAGAGAGCTTGCGGCGCGCAAAGGCTCCTGTTTTCCTATTTTTCCTCACAACGATAGAAACGTATTACCGCTGCTCCTTGCGGCGCTCACGTCTAAGGAATAAAGCCCGGATCGCGCATAAATATTTCACACATCACCCATCGAGATATACAAGCGTTTAAAGGCGCGCGAAGAGAAGAGCGCTCCCGGCGTCAGTTCGCGTCGGGGTTGGCTCGCGGAAAGTTTCGTACGATTTTACGTTGCGTCATAAATGCGGGATGTAAATCATGCGAGGGACACGAGCGACTCTGCGGAGGCGCGTAAAAGATGGAGGATCAAGAAGGAAGCAAAGAGAAGTCAGAAGATTATCGACAACGCAATTAATCTCGTACAGTGTAAGTAGGATCTGACGATTATTCTTTTTTCTAAATTTATGTAATATATTGCATAAAACTTGAAAATCTCTTATGAAAACTGCGAAACGAGAAAGTCTATATTTATCATCTATTAAATCCGTCAAAATAAAACGCAAACTGCTATAACGTTTAATTCAACATTATGTTCTTAAATTTCAATATTTCGTTTAGATTTTATTATTTATATAAACAATAAAAATAAAATTCTATTTAAAAAAATTATATCTGTCAGCGATATTTATAATTCTCAACATCACAATTTCCCGGATTAAGATGGAATGTCTGATAAATTGGGTTGAATACATCCATTTTTTAACGGCCTGCTGTGGCTCATGAAAAGGAAAATATGAACAAAGAATGTATTTCCGCCAGCTAATCGGAGCGCATCATAAAGTATGGGACTTTTCGGAAGAGCAACTACACGTGCTGACCACGTGTTTCGCTGGGAACGCGGTAAAGGAGTCATGGCCCTTGTCGCTCATCATCAACGAACAAAGGAAAATGCTTCATCATTCTTTCATAATAAATTTCGTGAAACGATTATCGCGTGCTAGTAATGAATGATTAGATCTAAACATCGGCCGTTCTTAATGTGCGATTAGTGATCATTGTATATTTTTATATATTAACTACTGAAGATTGGAGAAATTCTTATACGTCTCTGCCTCTTTACGATAAACTTACGAACGTCGATTAGTTTCCAAAAGTCATAGATGAAATCTTATCTTAGCTGATAGGTTTCTACGTATACATGAAAAACAAATATTTCTATGACTCCTCGTTCTTGGAAGGAGTAGCCATGATATCTATTCGGAGATAAACGGTTATTCAGTGCCATATCTCGCACTTTGAGTAATAAATACAATAAAGTAGTTATATTTGCAATATTGTAATCAATCAATATAACTCTTTTTTCAAAATCTTCCTGGAAAACATTACTACATAGGTATCTAATTAACAATACAATGCTTTATATTTCTGAAACAAATTTTCCATTTTTAAAAAACTAAAAAATTTATGTATTTTTAAAATATAAATTTTTGAGTTTTACAAAGATAAAAAATATAAATAGAAATTTCATGAAGTAACTTTTCTTCACTTCATAAAATTACGGTATATTATGTTATAACCAGTAAAACGTAAAATTAGAAATTTGGAATACAACTGATTTTTATTTCTGTCGTATGAAACCGAAAATTTAAGTTATATCTTGAAAAAGAAAACTACCTCTCTTTGCTACGATCTGCTTGGCAGAAATAACTCGCCCTCCCGCTTTGAAGTGTGAAACCGAGCATTGCTATTGTCGACGCAACGAAAAGTTTTAAGTTTCGCAATTATATTACGATGATCATTTACGACCGATGATTGTTTATTTCATGCAAAATCATGATTTCTGCAAAAAATATAATTATAGCAATTACGTGTAAATACAATATTTACTATTGCTATATATGTAATATATAAAATATGTTTTATTTTTTACACATAAATCAGAAAATGTTACTGATTTCTTCATGCTGTGTACAATTCGAAAAATTTTGTATGTTTCTCAAAATAAATGTTTCTCAATATAATTTTTCTATTCTTCGATATATTTCTAAAAGTTGAAGTAACGCGAGTCTTTTACTGTAGTGCAAATTTATATTTAGTTGTGATGATAATATGTATGTCAATCATATCATACGATCTATCGCGTCATATTGCCTTGATTGAGTCAGGTTAGTATATCAGCACGTTACGATTCGCCCGCCACCCACATTCACGTATTGCGCGATGAATTAAATGAATTAAAACTACTACGGTGTCAATGTTTGTGTTATTATTTCAAAAATTATTCTACTGTTATACCAATCACGTACTGTATAAAATAACGTTCGGCGATGATCCGCGGTTGTTACCGTTCGTCCAACTGTCCACACCAATGATGATATTATGAAGTAAGCATAAATAAACACGCTTCTTTTAATACGCCTTGAGGCATTCATAATTTTCAGTTATGTGTCGTAATATTCATTCAGAGCCTTAACAGTCGTGTTGAATGAGAAGGTCAAAGTTGGAAAGAATCATTAACATGATTCCTTCGCTTTCTGTGATGTAATATCCTCAAGAGAAAAAAATTCGCTTTAATTAAATCAATGTAAAATTTAATTTTAATTATTAAACGCTAGATATATGTAATTAAAAATATTAAAATGTGTTTTTCATTGTTTATACTAATAAATAATAATAAATTAAAAAGTAAGAAATTTGGAAATCATGAATTCTAGATGAATTTCTTTGTACTACCTGCAATATTATATTAGAGTATCATTGGCGTATCTGCTTTTTGAATTAAGAACTAAAAATCATAAGAAAAAGTTAGTAGTTTTCCGGACAGGTGGTGTCACCCAGACACAAAGAGATTTAATCGACGAGGCATTCCAAGAGGATGATGATTTCGCGATGATGTCACCGCGGCATCGAGCGGAATCGTAATCAGGATTTCGCCTTCAAGGATCAGTGCGCACCGACCGAGCGAGTTGCCGCGGCAGATACCGATCACCACTACGATAAATCGAACGATTACGAATCACCGCCGTGCTCGCGTCGCGACGCCAGGCATGCCCGCGCTCGATCCGAGATGTAAGATGTACATACTTCGCTACCGGCTCCTGTAAACAACGCGCCCCGCTTCCGTTACGCGGTCGTTTAAACCGCGATATCACCGCGCGATTTGCGTCGATCGGCTGTCGCGTTTAATTGGATGATCGAGCGATCGGAGTCATGCCCGATCTAACGATCTCCCGCTTCACCGTTTAGTTATCGAACTTAACGATACGAATTCGATACAACAGCGGAATGAAAAAAAAAAGATACTTTTTATCGTTCTAAGATTTACAACTAATGTTGTGATTAGTTTTATTTTCATCTGAACAAAATTTTGTTCAAACGATAAATAGTAGTGAATTTTAGACTAATTGGCATCGTTTGTAAATTTATCGTAAAGAGAGATTTTGTTCATTATAAATAATGTTATATATGTAATAATCGTAACACATTCTTGACGCTAATAATTTTTTCAGTTTAGCCATTATTCTGTTACCGGTTATTATATAGAATATAAATGAATTTCGAATTGACGTCATAGTATTGCAAATGTTAAACGGAAGAGAAAAAACAGAGCATTTATATATTTTATTGTCAGCTCGCATGTTGATTAGTTAGCATAATCATGTACGGTACGTGGTTGCTTGCACATTTATATTTAAATTGCTACTCCAATAAATGTTCTATGTACGTCGACGAGAATGCTGCATGTGCTAATGTGCAATAAATGCTTCTGTGTAATAAAAAATTATGTAGGTTAGGGATATGACACAATATTAGATAATCAATCGAAGATTAATGACTCAAAACAAAAAAAAACATATATTGCAGAGAATTTCAATACTCTGTAAATGAACATATATGAATCAAGTAAAATTTAATAAAATCTAACCTCTTAAAAATGTGATTATCAACTAAATTTCTTCTATGAAATTTCCTTCAAGTTTTCTCTCTTATATAAAGTATTAAATACAAAGAGAATTATCGAAAAATATTCATTAAATCATTGTCGATATTCCAAAAACAAATGTGTAAATAAAACGACACTAAATTGTCACTTGCTCCATTTTACGTGATCGTCAACAAACGTCGTCCGCATTGTCATCGATAGATACGGTGTAGTTTTTTAAAAAGTAAAAACTATACACACCTGAGAATTCCCAGGCGATGTTCAAGATCACGCCGAGGACGAAACGGCAGCATGCATCCACGTGTACGAGACGAGTTAAAATTCACTTGTACAAACGTGCGACACGGCGAACACAAGAAACCACCAGCCACCGCGGCGTCTTTCACGATCCCGCGATTATATCACCACGGTCACGCCGCCTTCCTCTTGAACCGGGTTGCGTTTCCGACGCTTCACTTTCCGCGAAACTCCGAGTAACTTCACTTCCGCGAAATTCCGAGCAACGTCCTCTTCGAAACGCGATGACGGTTTGTTTTGCGAGCAACACCACGTACTACTTCTTTAACTCGAATTTGTCACTTTCCTCGCGAGATACATCGAACAAATTATCGAATTGTCTATTCGATTGTTGTGATGAGTTCAGCTTGTATCGATAGACCGAAGTTGGTTGCACTGCTATTTAGCTGCGTCAGCTGAGTTCACGCCGCAATGCCTAATGCTTCGTATCTTGATATTTCTCGTTTTGACTATGCTTATACTATGACATGCATGACACGGAGCTTCTTCGTGCGCAAGTTTAGAAACGAATATTACAGGAATTCGACTGAAAGCGCTGTGTTGTATACCTCGCGGCGCATCACGTGGGTGCGACCATTACTCGCCGCACTTGTTGATTCTCGCCATGGACACGAGCGTCTCATTGACGGAGTACATTCCCGCGAAATTCCAATACGTGCGACGCATCACAAGGATCTGTATCTACACGAAGTCAATGCACACGGATTTCGACAACCGCGAGTGTCACCTTCAATCAATCTCACTGCCGCTTAGGTGCCACGCAAAACGTGCAGCAATCGCACACAAAAAACGAATTATGGCAAAACACTACGTCGGCTCGGACGCTTTTCTCGGAATTCCATCACGGCTTCGTTCTTGAACGGACGAAGGACACTGTCGCAAAACACCGGGATCGAAATTTCAGAACGACTCGACTCAACGCGACGACGCACTGCCGACCACGCGCGTTCACGAGCGATGCGTTCAAATCGAATTAGCGCCACGAAATGCGGAGACCGACTCCCGCGACCGCCACGGCAAGACTGAGAAGTGTACGACGTGCGCATGCTCGGCACGCTTCTGCTGCGAACCGAGCCAGTCACGGAGTCGTCCCCTCTCAGTCGTTCTTGCGACGTGCACCGTTGCGTATCGTATCCGCTGTCTTTCTCGCTTCCGATCTGCTTTGCCATCTCGCTCGCACGCCAAGCGATTGAATCGCTCTCTGTCTTCCCTATCGTCCCGCACGCTTCATTGAGAATCGTTATCTCCACTTCTTTCAACGTCGATTGTTTACATCAGAGGTTTTCAAACATCTTACCGCAATCACGTCGCCTTAAATACTCAAAAGAACTAATATACATTTCAATTCATGATTTAAAAGGCATTAAAAATTAAAATTTAGAATGTGAAAATGTACAAAGAAATTTAAATACATGACATAACTCGAAATTAGGAATGCTACCTAATTTTTTGTCAGAATAAAAAGACATTGTTCGTAAATTATTACGAAAATAATTTTTATCAGGATTGTCCGACTTATCAGAATAATTTGCTAATTTAGTGAACTATTCTTTCTATTTTCTATTCTATATTTCTATTCTATCAGAGCAATGCATTTTCTCTTTTGCCTTGTGATTTTCGAGGGCAATATGGTGTTATCTTTCTCTCTTTCTCATCCGATTCCGGCACGATAAATCCTTCATCGACTCGTCAACGCGTACGCACTCTCTCAGCTGTTCCGTGTGGAGGCACGCACGTGCGTGTACGCGTAGGCGTCCGTCGTGCCGCAGGCGCCGGTCTTCGATTTTCACGGAATGATCAGTGGGGATGTAGGAGTCTAATTACGTGTGCGTGCCTACCGATTGTTCGCCGCACAGTTGAAAACTTTACTGACTGCAGTATAACATTGTGGACTAACCGCATAATGAATAATTCATTCGAAAAATAATTATTATTATTACGTCCTTAACTCTTTTGTAGCTTCCATCACGCGTTAAGTATCTTTTTCTTTTGACATTTACCGTCGTTTCGACCGATAAAAAGCCTCTTTCAAATAATGATGAAAAAAGTGCTCGTCCTGACAAAATCAATTTTCGCACGACATCCTCGGGCGCGATTGTGGATCTCCGGAGACCAAAATTTATCATGGCGAGACTGATCGATGGAATGCAATAATGCACCTTCTCGCGGGAATGTCCGCTTGACTATGAGCGCGCGCGTCCTTGAAGCCAAGGATCCTGGGCCATTAATTCCGCGGAGGATGTTCCGCGCGAGGGAACATTCGTCCTCGCGAGACTCAGCTGTTTCACGGAACGTGCGAGCATGTTAGGGCACGCGGGGACTACACGTTCCCAACTATCTTGAGTGAATAGTCCCAGCCACCATGTCGCCTCACGGTCTACTACTTCGAAAGATCTTCCCTCTCCGCTGTAAAGTCGATGAGGAAAGTTTCGTCTGTTGAATTTTTAAATTTATACGGTTTGAGATAAATGATAGCTGTTTCTTTCATTCGCGGCAAAATGAGACGCAAAAAATAAAAAAAAAAAGCTTTCTCCATTACATAAATTTATAAAATGTATGATTTTAAATCGAAAATAATTTTTTTCTATTTAACATTAATCTTATCTTGTTTAATATGGATTTTTACAGTTCTGAGAATCGCAAAAATAATGAAAAATTATGCAGCAAGCAATTTGTTACTCGAAACATTATATATTTCTTTTTTTTATTTTTATATTAATTTTGCAGAATTATATAGAAGTTATTATATGTTAAAATATGCGTTTCACGTAACACCATGAAGTTCCGAGGCGTGAAATTCACAAAATCTTTTCGAAATCGATAATCGACGAGGAAGAAGCTAAGCTCGTGCATACATCGTAACCGTGTGGCATGCTCGCCGCATGCCAGGAAAATTACCCTATTATTACTTCATCTAGTCCAGGATAGTGCTAGCCCGTGGCTTTCCGTGCTTTGGGTACGCTAGGATAATCAGCTATTTACCGCGCAGGTTGTTCAACTCTCCTGCTAAGAGCAGCGCGAGGTTCTTTGCACGCCTACACTATAACGATTGTAAATATTCACTTAAGCAAGCATAGTGGCCAGCTGTTTATCCCATTGATTCTTTAGATATTAGAAATTTTCTTTTAATAACCTGATCAAATAATTGCAGACATAAGAATATTATCCGACTGCAAAATGGTGAAACCTAGGAAACTATTTATTTTAAATGCAAATGTTATAGCAATTCATAATTTATATTTTATCTCGAAAAAGCTTTCTTTCCTTTTTCAAATTTTTTTCGTTAACTTTGGCAAATGTGATGTCACATAATCATTTCTACATAATTTTGTATAAATCAATATAAAGAATGCAAAACATAATATTACGAGTAACAAATTTCAGAATTCAATAAAATTTTATACAAGAACAGTTTGATAGCTAAAGAATTAATTGCGAATAACTTTATGATTTGTTGCGCAAGCAAGATATTAGTTCAAATATAATTGGAATATCTCAGTTGAATGAAAATTGACGGCTCGTTGTAGAACTCTTTTCTGAGTCGGCGGCGTTGCATGTCGCAAGAGAGTCTGGCGGCATCTTTGCGGCACATCGCGCGTTTCAACTTTAATTTGTCAAGGGTGATATCATAAACGCCCGCATGCCTTTCCATTAATCTCAATTATGGCGCAATTAAAAGCAGTTAACGAAAGTGGGGTCGTGAACCGAGATGCGCCCACCTTAGTAATCGAGTTCTTTCCTCGTTTTTATATTTATTTTAACGTACGTTATTTATATTTGCGATAAAACGAATGAAAGAATATAAAAGCTGCAATTTTTTAACACCGACTAACTTGTGCGTTTATAATCATAAAATTGCAAAAATATAACTGTAATATATTTTTTATGAATATTTTATAATCATAAGAAAAATGAGCCATTATAATAGTTACTTATATCATTCATTTGCAATGTTTATTCTATAAAAAACAAAAGACTATAGTTAATTCTTAAGTTATATACGCACGGGATCGAAAATCAAAATTTCGAGACACCGTATAGATCTGGGCGCGTTGCTTTCCGAGTTGAGTTATGATATATGTGTTTTCGTGTTCGAATTCATCAAGGCGCATTAGAGGGACCCGGAATATCTCGCATCGTCGATTTCATTTGCATTCCTTTTCTCGCCAAGGACGCGTCAGGCTTATGGGACCTACAGCTCCAGGGGTCCCCGCTCGGTTGTTTCATCGCCGCGCGCACACGCCTCTCGACTTTGACTTTCGTTCTCGCACGAAGCGGTGCGTATTAAAGGTCTTCTCGATAATAATGACAAACGTTCGTTCTCGCGGCAAGAATTATTCGTTTCGCGGTCGCCCCGGCGAAGGCCTCCACGGAAATGCGGGCGTTAAATCAACGACTGGCACAAACCTAAGTTACCTCGTTATCACCCTTACACCCTTCACTGACACACGAGATTTACTTAACAATGACGACGATGTCTCGAAAAGGCAAGTGCAAAGGTCATTATGTACTAAAGGGAACAGTCTTTCGCAATGCGTAAGAACTCGTTAATTTCTAATCAATCCTAAAATTAAAATCCCACGTTAAAATTGAAATCAAAATAAAATCAAATAGAAAATAATAATTCAATACAAAATAGAAGATATCCAAATAAAATAGAGATACTTTACGATATTTCCATAAAACAAGGCATTTCAGTAAAAGCATCTAATGAATTTATCAATTTTTTCTAAGGGATCATTTTAAAGACTTTTTTGCGACTTGTGTCAATTTGCATGAAAACTTTAGCGGAATGCACTGGAAATTTCTTTACGACTAGAAGACTAATAAATCGAAAAGAAAATCAAAATAAACTGGATATACTGTAAGAATATTAAATCGGATACACGATTCTACATCAATTCTTCTCAATGTGTGTGACAATAATTACATATTATCTATGAATTTAAAAAATTTCACATATACTATAAAAAGAAGTATCTACTTTCTATGTGTAGTAATTTAACAATAAAAGAATATTCTTATACAATTTTAATAATTAATAGAGATTGTAATTATCACACACACATATACATAATCTTGTCTAATAAAATCTTGTATTTTCATAGATTTATTTTCCGTTTCCGAGTTATATTCTTGGTAATATTATATCGATTGGTTCTCACAGGATGCACAGCGTCATGTTTTGACGAAACGAACAAATAATGAAATTCAAGATGTTCCATCCCAATGCCCGTTGCATTGGAAATTCCTCATTGTTACTGTGACGCGCGCATTCGATGGTTGCTTTTACTCTTTCGTTTAGAAGATCGGATGTCCAACCGGTTCGCGCGTAAAACGATTCCTTTTATTTCGGTTTTTCATCGGCGTTCGTCGTGCCGTTCTCGTCCATTCTTATGCTAATTTCGAAATGCTGGTAAACTATTATGACAAATAATATAAAATCCAATTAACATTAAATGAAATTGTTACTTTATCATAATAATCTAAAGCCAAAAAATCGGTTCTAAAATAAAGAAACCATATAATCAAATTGATCATTGCAAAAAGAATATATCAGAAAAACAAGATTTCCCCAAAAACAAGAAGAAATATGACTAACGTAATCTAAGAATTATTGTTATTATAAAATGTCTTATTTTTTACAAATTAATGAAATATATTAAAAATTTTTTATCTATGTATTTTTAAATGCTCTTGAAATAACTCGCGTAAAAAAATTTACTGTCTTTTCTGCAATGTGACATTTCAGTACAATCATTTGTAACAAATCTTACGAAGTCAGATGTTTGTCAGAGAAAGAATTTGCTTCGAAATCTTAAACTGTTCTCGATTCATCAAGAGCTACTCCAATTACGTCGATGAGCTAATTGTGATGCAAGAGATTATGCAGAATTCGTTACGGTTTATCACTGGCACTTTATCAGCATAAACAAAAGCTGTATGTATTACAATACGGGCGCGCGGCGCTTCAGCTCATTTTAAGATAATTGATAACACGTA